TTGTCCTAAAAGCACTCGTTACTCTCAGTATCTGCCTTCTTCCTGCATCTACATTAGGTCACGTTTTTATTCAGTATATATATATAATATATATATATATATATATATATATATATATATATATATATATATATATATATATATATATATATATATGTATGTATACATATATATATATATATATATATATATATATAGATGTATACATACATATATATATATATATATATATATATATATATATATATATATATAATATATATATATATATATATATATACATGTAAGAGAGAGAGAGAGAGAGAGAGAATGTAAAAAATACTAAGACTAATTAACCGCTCTGCTGTTTTTCTCATGAGATATGTCAAGTTGGGTGGCAGAAGTTACTTCGTTAGGTTCAAGGACAATATTGATTGCACTTACATGGGTCACTGAGGCCGCAGTGTACCAGCACACTAACACCAAGAAAACTTTAATACCGTCTATACGTGTATCATACATGCGGTATACAATACCGACAAGTTACTATATATACTCGCTTGTTAGTTATCTCTGTATTAGGACTGAAGAAGCCACTAGTGGAGTAACGTTTCATCTAATAAATGCCCTTAAATGTACGTGTCCTTTTTTTCAGTGGCTGGTGTTGTGTGTCTTGGGACTCTCCTGGCGAATATTATATTAATAACAGCAACAAAGTTAATACCTTTAACAGTGATTAAAGTAAACTCTCGGTTAGAGGTATTTTGTACACTATTATGTTTATATATACCCTTGAGATAGGTCTATGCAATACCGTATATTCAATTTTAAAAAGTGGCGGGGTGGTATTTGAAAATTATTACATATTCCTCCTTTGGTTGTGGCGCGACTTAAACATGTGATTTTTTTTAAATATTCTTATATACACCATTATTATTATTATTATTATTATTATATATTATTATGGAGAGCATTAAACCCGTAGGAATTGTACAAAGTCTGGGGGGAAATGGAAGGCATCCAGTGAAGTTACAGAACTCCAGAGTTGCTTTTGAGTCAATAGTATTAAACATCAGCATAGAGATACTAAACAGCGGTATATATATATATATATATATATATATATATATATATATAATATATATATATATATATATATATTAATATATATATATATTATATATATATATATATAATATATATACATACATAGAATATAGGGGATTTTTTTTTTAGATTTTGCCACCGAAGTGGCTAGTTTATTGTGTACCTTGGAAAAGACCCGGGCCGGGAGAATACCAGCGAATAAAAAAAAACCCATAGCCATCCTGTGGACGGTAGCGCAAGGGCATATTTATGCACAAAAGGCCTAGGAACTAGGCCCCAAAGGGTTAACAGGAATACATATGGATTTATATCTACATATCTACAGTTCAATTATCTGTTACAAGCAATTTTAGGAAATTTGTTTAGTATATCTGGTATGTTATTTTCATTAATAAGATATCTTGACATGTCACATAGGTTATTACACTGTCTATCTCTGTATTCCTCAATAAGTGGACAATTACGCACATAGTGTTCAAGACAAGTGACCATATGCCTGATCACATAATTTACATTTACTTTGATCATCATCTGTGTGTCTCCCAAACTGCCAGAAGTACTTGTAACCAAGCCGCCTAAGCCTGGCCACTACAACATCAGTCAGTCTGCTCACATTGCAAGTTGCTCCATAAACATACTTAACTATGTTCACGTTATCATAGTGGGTTATAGATCTACTCAGGCTTCTAACTGCATTCCCATAACAATCATTTTCATTATTTACTTCTCTTCTAATATTATTCCTAATGCTAGACACAGATATACCAAAGTTATATTCTACATTCTCCTTCTGGGTACTCTTCTTGGCTAACATACCAACTTTTTCATGAAGGAGTAATCCCATCTGTGATAGGATCCATAGCAATTGTACATTAATTCCTTTGTTCCTGATTTTTGAGTATCTATACCTGGCTTCTCCAATGAGCATGTTGTTGGAGAATATAGGGGGTGGTAAGATAACATAAGATTTCGTTCGGATTTTCAATCTCGGAGGGTTAGCCACTCAGGATTACCCAAGAAAGTCAGTGCGTCATCGAGGACTGTCTCTTATTTCCATTGGAGGCTCTCAATCTTATCCCCCAGGATGCGATCCACACCAGTCGACTAACACCCAGGTATCTACTTGCTAGGTGAACAGGATAACAGGTGTAAGGAAAAGCGTCGAATGTTTCCACCCCGCCGGGAATCGAACCCGGACCCTCGGCGTTTGAAGCGAGAGCTTTGCCAACCAGCCCACGGGGCCTGGATAATGGAAAAAAATATACGTATCTGTTCTTGACAGTTTTATCTGTCCTCGCCTCCTCCTTCAAGAGAAAATAAGCAAACTGCTTCTGCAACTAGAGCTTCTGGTATATATCATTTTATTCCTCTCCCCCCTCCTCGAATTCTCACTTCTTTTCTGAACAGAAATCATTTTATTCTCTGAATTTTGAGAAACAAAGTATATTGTAAAACACGTTCCGTTTTATGGAAATAAAAATATCAGGCGATCAAGTTTATATGTTAATGTAAAAATTTATAATTTTACTCCAAAAGAATCTTAGAAAACTTACCTAACCTTATTATAACAAGAACAATTTATTTTAGCCTAACCCAACTAAATATATTTTAGATTTGTTTACAATAATTTAATACTAAACACAGTGAAATATATTTTTTTTCGTTAGGTTCAGAATGATTTTTGCGAAATTATTGCATGCACAAATTTTCGCTTGTCGTAAATGGCAAGATGAGCGTTGCTATTTAAGCCAAGATCGCAAGTTCTGCCTATTCGGCACGACATATATATTCTTTCCCCTTGCCACCCTCTCCAATATAGGTGTGGAAAATTGCATTTATCTGAATGTAACTAATTATGTACATAACAGTAAATGATAGCAAAGATAGTTATTATTTATCAATGTTACATAGACAAGTAGGAATTTGGGACACCTAGGTCACAAAATCGTCCCCCTTCGATACCTACCACTGTCATAACCACAAGTTGCTCTGGACCTATTAATTAAATGAAATATACATACACCAGGAATACTGGTAAATATATAAATTTGTGGACTGTATATTAAAAATAATAAATGGTTATATATATACACAATTACATAACAGAAGGAAAATATATCTTAATATCACTCACCAATTTGACTGGAGATTAATGTGTATCATACTCAGAAAACCTCACTCTAACTAAATCTATGAAAATAATGCTGGCCAGAATTATACACAAATCTAGAGAGCTTATCTGAGGTTCCTGGAGAGGTCTTGTCCAGTCGCCTGATATCTCAAGTTATGCAGGAATGCATATCCACCAATTTCGCCTCCTATTTGAGAGGTGTCAGCCCAATTTTAACCTCTAGAGCACGAAAAATTCTTCCCATTTCACCAACGTTCTAATACAAATTCAAACAAAATGGCGACTGACCTCCCCAGCCGCAGGTTTCCCATTTTCGATAACATACTTCTTTTAAAAATACAATATAGGGCATCTATTTACCTATAAATTACCGTGTTTCCGGAAAATATGTACAGTATTTTCCACAATAGGTATATGAATATTTTGTTAAAGCCATTATTTAAAGGATACATTGCGAATATAAATCAATATACTTTTTATTCCTCTAATGTAGTCAGTCAATGAACGTGTGTTCGCGAATTTTCTATAAAAAGACTGATTACCAAATTTAATAAATATGGAATAAGTATTTTTTGAATATCAAATGGAATACAATACCGACAGGTTGGTAGATAAGATACATAGGCAACATTTAGGCAACTTTATTCCGAAACGTTTCGACTACACAGTAGGCTTCTTCAGTCGAGTACAGAAAGTAGGCAGGAGCAGTAGAGATGTGAAGACGATGTAATCAGTCCATCACCCTTAAAGTCGTAGATTTGAGGTTGTCAGTCCCTCAGCCTGGAGAAGTTCTGTTCCAAAGTCTGGAACTAACTAAATGTTAGTTCCAGACTTTGGAACAGAACTTCTCCAGGCTGAGGGACTGACAACCTCAAATCTACGACTTCAAGGGTGATGGACTGATTACATCGTCTTCACATCTCTACTGCTCCTGCCTACTTTCTGTACTCGACTGAAGAAGCCTACTGTGTAGTCGAAACGTTTCGGAATAAAGTTGCCTAAATGTTGCCTATGTGTCTTATCTACCAAGTATTTTTTTACAAAGGAATAGATGCATTTAGATTAACCTTAGTTGTGAATAAATATTACCAAAAAGGTAATTTTTGATAGGGAAAATAAATCATAATTGGTTGGTTAATTAATTAAAGCTTGTCGAGTACACGAGAATTATGTTTGTAGCATTAGTACAGCTTACTTAGGAATTGTTTTGGATTATATATAGAAAACTGGACCTCAAAAGACATTCTGCGCTCTGTACTTTAAAAATAACTATCAATACATTAAAATCTCACCTAGGGTATATATAGTATATACACTGAGAAGTGAGTAGCTGTCAGCGTATATACACTCTGAGCAAAGCTTTAATTCCTTTTCCGGGGGAATTAGAGTACACTTTAGATTATTATGCAAACAGTTACTACCCTGATGACCCACGTGTAAGCACTAGGGTTTTAACCTAAGAAAGTAACATTAAAACTCCATTAAAAACTTAGAGGAGGGGGGGAATATAAAGTTTGGAGTAATGTAGAGACGATAGGACATGTAGATTACAATTCAAGTTGAAACACAATTTACTTATATATAAAGCAGTTTTTCACTGTAATGCTTTAGATAAATAAAGAAGAGTAATATATAAGAGTATAGTATATTGAGGATGTGGCAGCGCTGGGTCCCCACTACCTGTGCTGCTGTGCTGCCTCGCTCAGCTGTTCTCAACAACTCGGCCAAAACATTACCAATTACACAGCTCCAGCAGTGGTTCCTGTGAGTACCTCACACTCTACACACTTCTATGTTATCCTCCAGCAAGGCACACATCACCTCGCTCCACCCTGCCCTCAAAACACTGCCCAATAGTTGTATTTTTTTTTTTTTAGCTGGTAGAAAAGCTTGGGTGAGCCAAGAGGGAAAGGTGCCAACTTGTTAAACTTGGCTCGTTTTAACTTTGTGTGGAGTGCAGTTGCCGTCCAAGAGTGAAAGGAAAGCAGTGCGCAATGAAGCAAGTGAGAAAAATATTTTTCACGTTGGTGGAATTACAGGAAATTGCTTTAAAATGGTGTGGTGTGATGGTGGTGGTGTGCTACTCCTGCTCAGTTCAACATCCATTGTATCGGGAACTTCTTTAATAACCAAAAAGTTCACTTTTTTTTTATCCGGTTGCAAAAGTAGTTTTATCTAGCTGTCTGGGCTATTATAAAACAGTTTCTCCATATATCAAAAGGTGCCCAGAACCAGTGCATTTTGTTTAAAATAGTATTGCAAAGCATCTAAATGTTTCATTGTTTATACATATTTATTTTCCAGTAGTTTGTAATAAGGCTAAAGTATTAGTTTCTTCTATCATACCGTTGCACCTTCAGAGAAACTGTATTTAAGCACAAATTTGTATTTAGTTATACATAGGCCTATGATAGTTGTACTGCTGTACTCTGGTCGCAAGGCTCAACCTGCTGCAGTATTTCAGCCCATTCTTTGTATTCACTAACCGAATGCATCCTTGTCACTACATATAATGGTAAACCTAGTTTACAGTTGAAGACTGCTCAGCGGAAGTTACATATGCAAGCTACCTAAGCATGGAATAAACGGTTATTTCATGAGCATTTTGTTTTGGGAGACTAGTAAAAATACATTTTGTGGCATGAGCAGCACACTGGAATCAGTCGATGCTTAATATTACAATCTGGCACATTACAGAAAATTTAAAGATGCTGCAGATGTAAACAAAATAGAGCAAGATTAAGTTGCATTATTTAGATTGGGTTAAGTGAATTTAGTTGTTTGGTTAAGCTTCTTACCATTTGCACATAAAATATCAAGCATGTAAAACCAGTATTCACAATTCAAACTAATTAATTCCCAGAATCCACCAAGTAGTAGTCTTAAATTGTTACCGTAGACATTTTATGTTCTTGACGTATTACATTAGCTAATATTCCTGACAATACAAAAATAGGCCAACAAATTCTGAAGTTACCAGAGATTCAGTATGACTTGAATAAGTCGACATCTTCAAGAAAATGGCAGATAAAGTGCAGTCTGGAGAAATGTGAGGGGAAGAAGAACACGACTCTTGTAAACTTGATATAGGAACTGAATGTAAAACACTTAGTTTTGGTTAGACATCTAGATCAGAGGTAGCAATACATAAGCTTTGCAGCAAAGCCAACAATTATTGGCTTCCTGTTATGAAGTCTAAGTATTATAACTTTGTTGTTGGTAAGGCAGTAAGCCTTCATTTAGATTATTCAGCACAATTTTGGTGTGCACATTACAGACTTGTACACTGAAAAACTTACAGGTAAGTTAAAAGTATAGTACTACTTTAAAATGGTGTAAAATTAGGGTAAATATTAAGATTGTCCAAATGGGAAACAAGGATAAGTTGTTAGTTAGAAATCGTAACTATGCATTAAAAGCTGGATAAATTTAAATTTAGAAATGTTATAGAAAAGCATTGGTTTGATAGGAAGAGTTGTATGAATTATTAAACACTACTAATTAGCAACTTTGAAGTAAGCATTTCTTTTATTATCTTTTAAGATATTTTTGGCACATGCATTAGTGGGAGTGGGTAGTTTAAAGTAATCATCTAGCTTTGGTCTTAAAGCTTATCACAGCTAGTCTATTCTTATGTCAATATGTGCACTTGGAAGGGTTAACTCGTGCTGTAGTGCTTGTTACACACAAAGCTAGGTGCAAATGTCTGATCTTGCCAACATTACAAGTCATTAGACAGTTGGGAGAAGTCTCCAATATATTACTAACGGTGCAGTTCTCCCATGTAGAAAAAATTCAGTTAAGCTATTGGTAAACGCTAACCTACCATAATGTAACCCATCCTAACATAACCTAAACCTAAATTGTTGTTGGGTAACCCGGTTATATTTTAAAATCTCTTGGATAACTTTCATTTTTCCCTTTGTCATTGTGCTTTATTTTATTTTTTCCCCATCTTAGTGCTGCATAGTAAATTTGCTTGCCTATAGTAAAATTTCATTTTTCTGCTAGTATCGGCTATAAAACTGCTGATTAATATGCTTGTTTGAAACTAGCCAAAAACTAGTAGTATCTTGTGTGAGAACTTATTTATTGAGCAGAGCATTAATTTGTTGTAGAGGTCTACTAGTTGTTACTACCTGCCTTCCAATATTTTTTCTTAACATTAACCCTCCCTTCTGGTTTAGTGCTTCTTTTTGATTATAATAATAAACATTAACCCCGTTCACTAGAATGATTGTGATAATGAACTTGATGTTGTCTAACCAGACATCTGACTTCAGTATGGTCATAAAAAAAAAAAATAATTTTGACTTTCCATTCTATGCTATGATGGCTTATGGATTTAAAAGTGTAATAATGGTCCAACAGCTGCCACTTCTGCTGTCCTTGAATCTTTAAACTGCCAAAGTGTCTAAAATGAACATGCACTCAGTGTCAGCAATTTTGAACAAGGAAATAAAAAATTAATTTTTCTTAAAAATTTTTTTTTCCATTAATTTAGAAGTGTTATTATTTAATAAGACAAGAATGAATGACATCTGATTATTACTTATGAAGGTATAAAAGTTCGAAGGTGACATTGGTGATCACATTATGGCAACATAAGTGCTTATGTTTTACACCTGTTTTCATATCCATATTTCACTTTTACTGTTCAGTAATGCTAAACAAATGTAAATGACATTTACTGGCTCCCGCAATGCTGTGTGCACAATTTTTTTTTTATACTGTGCACAACTACAGTGCAGATCTGTTCTCTGATGTAGTCCTATCCATACTAATTGGGACCATTTTGGTGGCCTTAGAATTTTAAATAACAAACTGTAAATAACATGGCCAGAAACAGTGATATAGATTAGTACACACAATAAAATTTTAGAGGATAAGTAAATTAATCTAAATTTTATGTTCTAGCACCCTGTTGAGTAATCACCCGAGGTAGATTTTTTTATTCTTTAAATTATATTTCGACAAAATATGGTGCGTATTGTAAGTCTATCCCATAGTTGAAAGTGTTGGTCTTAGCCTCTGTTGTAAATTTTGTATTGTATAACCTAAGTGTGACTATGCAGCATCTTGATAGTTTTTTCTTTCAGAAATATTCCACAATGGTGGACTACTACAAAATTCTGGAGGTGAGCCGGAATGCCTCTATAGCAGAGATAAAGAAAGCTTACAGACGTTTGGCATTAAAGTGGCATCCAGACAAGAACCCTGATAACCAGGATGATGCTACAAAAAAATTTAAGGAAATATCAGAAGCATACGAGGTACTCAGTGATGAAAAGAAGAGAAAGGCAAGTTTCTTAGTTTTTGTCATGTGTACAATTTTTTAAACCTGAAGAGTAGATTTTAGGTTAAAAAGATACCAAACTAATTGTAAAATACCTAGATGCATTTCAAATGCTACGCAGTCTTGAGAAAGGCATACCTGTGTTGCATAATCCCAGCCCCACCTTTACCTTCATTCATGTGATACAAATTTTGCAGGGCAGTCATATAATTCTTGTGCAGACATATATACTTGTAAATGTGTATGTATGGGCATATGTATGCATGTACCATGTACACTTATGCACATGAGGCATTCCATGGCAGAAAATAGTAAGCACCAAGTTTAAGCTGGGGACACTTGGTCCCAAAGATGAGGAGGTACTTGTACCTCATCCCATGGGAGACTTAAGTCTTGAGACACTCCCCAGATAGGGAGCCAAGGCCGGGTCACCACTAATTGGAAGAGACCCGGGCCGGGAGAATACCGGCGAATAATAATAATAATAAAAAAAAAAGTTTAAACAATTGAGAAAAACGTACGCATGGGGAAGATCAAAGCTATGGAGCTCAAGATACTTTGCTTTTATGGGTCTCTGAGCCTAATACACAGATAGATTACAATACAGTATTACAGTAAATCAACCATTCAAATCATTATGAAGCTCTGTATAGTCTGCAGTCAATCAAACAAACGGGCTTCCACATGGATAAATTGTCATTTTTGTGGAAATTGGTGTCATGCCCCTTGTGCAGATATCCAAGAACTAGCTACAAGCAGTATTAAAACAGGGAAGTGTTTTTGGGTATGCCCAAATGAGGAAAATCTGTGGACTAAAATCACAAGGGTATTAAAAGAGGATAACATCAAAGCTGCTTTCGTAGACAACCTGGAAGCTTTCTACAACAGATGGGAACATAAAAAGTCTGGGCTGAATGGTAACTGCCCTTGATACTGGCCATGTAGTCAGAAACTGTAAGGCTGGAGGTGATGTCCTGGTAGTCAGTAAATGTGGGGATGATAGTGCTGTCCTGGGAGACAGTAATGGTGAAGCTGGAGGTGCTGTCCTGGGAGACAGTAATGGTGAAGCTGGAGGTGCTGTCCTGGAGGACAGTAATGGTGAAGCTGGAGGTGCTGTCCTGGGAGACAGTAATGGTGAAGCTGGAGGTGCTGTCCTGGGAGACAGTAATGGTGAAGCTGGAGGTGCTGTCCTGGGAAAGCACAGTAATGGTGAAGCTGGAGGTGCTGTCCTGGGAGACAGTAATGGTGAAGCTGGAGGTGCTGTCCTGGGAGACAGTAATGGTGAAGCTGGAGGTGCTGTCCTGGGAGACAGTAATGGTGAAGCTGGAGGTGCTGTCCTGGGAGACAGTAATGGTGAAGCTGAGGTGCTGTCCTGGGAGACAGTAATGGTGAAGCTGGAGGTGCTGTCCTGGGAGACAGTAATGGTGAAGCTGGAGGTGCTGTCCTGGGAGACAGTAATGGTGAAGCTGGAGGTGCTGTCCTGGGAGACAGTAATGGTGAAGCTGGAGGTGCTGTCCTGGGAGACAGTAATGGTGAAGCTGGAGGTGCTGTCCTGGGAGACAGTAATGGTGAAGCTGGAGGTGCTGTCCTGGGAGACAGTAATGGTGAAGCTGGAGGTGCTGTCCTGGGAGACAGTAATGGTGAAGCTGGAGGTGCTGTCCTGGGAGACAGTAATGGTGAAGCTGGAGGTGCTGTCCTGGGAGACAGTAATGGTGAAGCTGGAGGTGCTGTCCTGGGAGACAGTAATGGTGAAGCTGGAGGTGCTGTCCTGGGAGACAGTAATGGTGAAGCTGGAGGTGCTGTCCTGGGAGACAGTAATGGTGAAGCTGGAGGTGCTGTCCTGGGAGACAGTAATGGTGAAGCTGGAGGTGCTGTCCTGGGAGACAGTAATGGTGAAGCTGGAGGTGCTGTCCTGGGAGACAGTAATGGTGAAGCTGGAGGTGCTGTCCTGGGAGACAGTAATGGTGAAGCTGGAGGTGCTGTCCTGGAGACAGTAATGGTGAAGCTGGAGGTGCTGTCCTGGGAGACAGTAATGGTGAAGCTGGAGGTGCTGTCCTGGGAGACAGTAATGGTGAAGCTGGAGGTGCTGTCCTGGGAGACAGTAATGGTGAAGCTGGAGGTGCTGTCCTGGGAGACAGTAATGGTGAAGCTGGAGGTGCTGTCCTGGGAGACAGTAATGGTGAAGCTGGAGGTGCTGTCCTGGGAGACAGTAATGGTGAAGCTGGAGGTGCTGTCCTGGGAGACAGTAATGGTGAAGCTGGAGGTGCTGTCCTGGGAGACAGTAATGGTGAAGCTGGAGGTGCTGTCCTGGGAGACAGTAATGGTGAAGCTGGAGGTGCTGTCCTGGGAGACAGTAATGGTGAAGCTGGAGGTGCTGTCCTGGGAGACAGTAATGGTGAAGCTGGAGGTGCTGTCCTGGGAGACAGTAATGGTGAAGCTGGAGGTGCTGTCCTGGGAGACAGTAATGGTGAAGCTGGAGGTGCTGTCCTGGGAGACAGTAATGGTGAAGCTGGAGGTGCTGTCCTGGGAGACAGTAATGGTGAAGCTGGAGGTGCTGTCCTGGGAGACAGTAATGGTGAAGCTGGAGGTGCTGTCCTGGGAGACAGTAATGGTGAAGCTGGAGGTGCTGTCCTGGGAGACAGTAATGGTGAAGCTGGAGGTTTCTGTCCTGGGAGACAGTAATGGTGAAGCTGGAGGTGCTGTCCTGGGAGACAGTAATGGTGAAGCTGGAGGTGCTGTCCTGGGAGACAGTAATGGTGAAGCTGGAGGTGCTGTCCTGGGAGACAGTAATGGTGAAGCTGGAGGTGCTGTCCTGGGAGACAGTAATGGTGAAGCTGGAGGTGCTGTCCTGGGAGACAGTAATGGTGAAGCTGGAGATTTTGTCCAGGTAGTCTGGAATTATACGCAGGAAGGATACATATAAATGACCTCATAGGGGACAGGAGCTGAGTGGGAAACAAGTGTAGTCAAAGATAAGATAAAACCAATATTGCAAACTAGAAATACCACAAGAAATAGCAAACAAGAGGATCCACTAGCAATAGTGAGGATATATTACCAAAACAACTGGTGGAGCTCCATTGTTGGTGCTAGGGAGGATAGGAATAAGGGCAGGGAAACATGCACCAACAGGGAATACAGTCACAGAAACCCAAGGCAAACGGAAACCAGCCTGTGCACATACTATGCACTTGGTAACTGCAGACATGGGAAATCTGGAAAAACAGACGGGACGTGCAACTATGACCACCCTAGAAAATGCCATGCCAATATGACAACAGGAAAATGCAAACTCCCTTCCTGTAAGCTTTTTCACCCTGAAATGTGTACCTCTTCAGTACAGGAAAGACTGTGCTGTAACTTAAATTGCCAGGCACACCATCTAAAGGGTACAAAAAGATACAAAACATCCAGGCCATGGGAAAACCTGGTAGCCACACCACTTGAGAGGGAGAGGTTTTTTAGTGCCAGGAAGGGAAAAAAACTGGCAGGAAATGGCAGAAATCGTACACCAAATCCAGTCATTCCTGGAGAGGAACCACAGTCGATGGCCTCCACTCCAAACCAACAGATACAGATACTAATGCCGGAAAAAAAATCCCCCCCCCAGTACCAACAATACCACCAGTCCGATTTAACATTCCTTTTGCAAATATACAGGGTCTAAAGCCAGCAACAACAACAAAATACCTTTCATCCGTGGACTGCTGCAGAGGCAAAAGCAATGCTCGCGGCTTTCACTGAGACCCACATAAAGGATCACTTGGACAACGAAATATGATCCCAGGTTACAACCTATACAGATGTGACAGAGTGAACAGGCAAAAGGGGGGGTTGGCCTGTACATTGCAGAGTCACTTGTTTGCACAGAACTGCTAAATGCCTCAAATGATGTAGTGGAAGTTTTAGCAGTAAAGGTCAAGAACCAAAACCTAGTCATTGTGGTAGTCTACAAGCTCCGGATGCAAATCCCAGCAATTCCAGGAACAGCTTTTAAAAATTGACCACTGTCTGGAAAATCTTCCAGCTCTGCACCCAACATCTTGCTCCTGTGGGATTTCAACTTAAGGCACCTAAAATGGAGGAATATAGCAAATAATATTGTTGCAGTAATAACACCAGGAGGCAGCTCTGATGAAAACTCACTCACACGAGCTTTTAAATCTCTGCACAAAATTCAATTTAAACCAGCAAATAATAGAGCCTACTAGACTGGAGAATACACTAGACCTCATCTTCACTAACAATGATGATCTGATAAGAAATGTCACCATATCAAAAACAATATACTCAGATCACAACATAATTGAGGTTCAGACATGTATGCGTGGAGCCCCAGACCGACATAATGAGACTAGTCAAAGGGAGCATTCACCAAATTCAACTTCAATAACAAAAACATAAAGTGGGACCAAGTAAACCAAGTCCTAACCGATATAAGCTGGGAAGATATACTAAGCAACACAGACCCCAACTTATGCCTAGAACAGATTAACTTGGTAGCACTCGATGTATGCACAAGACTTATTCCTCTAAGAAAAAGGAGGAGATGTAAAATAGAAAGAGACAGGCGCTTCCTTTACAGGCGACGGAAAAGAATAACAGAGCGGCTAAAAGAGGTCAATATATCTGAAATGCCTAGGGAGACACTGGTCAGAGAAATAGCAAGCATCGAACTTAAGCTAAAAGAATCCTTTAGGAGTCAGGAATCGTGGGAAGAACTAAAAGCCATAAATGAAATCGAAAGAAACCCAAAGTATTTCTTCTATGCCAAGTCAAAGTCGAGAACAATGTCCAGTATTGGGCCCCTACTTAAACAAGATGGGTCCTACACAGATGACAGCAAGGAAATGAGTGAGCTACTCAAGTCCCAATATGACTGTTTTTAGCAAGCCGCTAACCAGACTGAGAGTCGAAGATCAAAATGAATTTTTCATGAGAGAGCCACAAAATTTGGTTAACACAAGCCTATCCGATGTTATCCTGACGCCAAATGACTTCGAA